ATATGAAGAACGGTTGCAGGAATGTCTAGTTTAATGAAAAGCAGGACTAGGGGAGACATGATAGCAGTGTCTCGATATCTCAGGGGTTGCCACAAAGAAGAGGGAGTCGAACTATTCTCCAAGGCACCTGAGGGTAGAACAAGAAGCAATGGGTGGAAACTAATCAAGGAGAGAACCAACTTAGAACTGAGGAAAAATTCCCTGACAGAACAATTAATCAGTGGAACAGCTTGCCCACATACATTAGATACATTTATCTAATAAATGCCTATGTATAAAGAGTTATGATGGAAAACAAGTTAACTACTCTAGGTTGTATAATATCAAAAAACCCTGTACCTCTGCTGGTACTACAGCCTGTTTCTTCCCACAGAAGGGAACTAGTCTAACACCACCACCACCCTACCCCAATCTAAAAAGTGAAAATTAGAAAGTTTATGAAAAACATTAGCAAATAGTACTTACTAAATGTTATCAGAAACACAAAAGTGCTAATAGATCTGGTCTACAACACATAAAAAATAGTCACCTGCTTTTCTGCATGATCTGCAGGCCATCCTTGGACATGCTTTATAAGATTCTCATTGAAATGGCCTGCTAATGTAGGCGTTAATGAACATGTAGGCCATCCAGATACGTTTTGTGGTGCTGTTGTGTTTGAAACACTTGTATTGGAGATATGAGTTGGACCAGGAGATTGACTACTATAAGAAGAAAAAAAAAAGAACTGTCACTGTACATTAATTCATACATTTTTCAAATCTTCTAGCTCTAATTTTTTTCCTGCTACTTTGCCAGCCATTAATGGTATACATTATTAAAAATATTAAAAGTATACATTGCATAAATATATTGTCTTAGATGTATGCAAGTTATACTGAATTATTTCAATAATTGACAATTTTACTGGTAGTAATAAGATATTGATTTTAAACATTGGCTCTTCTTAGAGAATCACCAAAGGAGCTAATGAGTTATTAGACTACATGCATATTTTATTCACTGCTTTCCACAAATCTTTAGTTTGTATAGTTGAAGAACAGTTTTTTGATGTATTCCATTTAGAGCATGGATATCCAACCTTTTGGCTTGCCTGGACCGCACTGAGTGAAGAGGAATTGTCTAGGGCCGCATATAAAATATATAATGTAGTTAATGCATATAAAAAAAGCATTTTTATATGAACTTATGGGGCCGCATGCAACCTGTGGGGTGTGGTTAGACACAGCTTATTTACAGCTTTTTGAACTGGAGTGGCATAGAAATGTTGACAATAAAAGAAACAGCAGCTAACAAAAAACACTTTTAAAAATTAACTAGGCTTACTTTTACATTTAAGGGGGGAAAAACCTATTACCATCTATCAAACTGCTGTTTCTTTGAAGGATACATATTTACTATTGTTAACTCCAGCATCCACCTTCCACCTCCGAGAAAGAAATGGGAGGTGTTTCTCTGAAATGTACTTACTGTAAGTAAAATTGTTTCTTAGGTTGTACAACAAAGTTTCTGTTCATGAGTTACTTTAAACTGTTTACTCTAGAATGAAGGTGATGGGAGTTATTTTCATAAAAATCAAGGGAATGGGTGGGGAAATATCTTCCTCTATCATGCTTCAAGTCTTACATAACTCTCTGATATCTCCAGCTATGTAGTTCTTAAAATAAAAGTAGAGTATGAACATGTATTCTATTGCTTGGAAACCAACTGAAATGGATCTTATAAATTTCATAACTCCGTGTATTTTCATTCTGTATTTTACAATTAGCAATGTTTGGGCTCAAAGTAGAAAATGTTTATGGTTCAACAGAATCCAAATGTTTAATACACAACTATGCACAGCACTTAGGCAAATGTATGTATTCAGGTCCAGCTTACTAGAGCACTTGTGTTCTTTCAGCCAAATTGCACTATGTAAGCAAAACATTAAAAGATACTGGTGGTTAAATGACAAATTTAGCAATATGATTAGTAGTTTGCAGAAGAGATATTTCTTCTTAAAATCAATGTGACCCAGTTCAAATAAGGAACTATTAGATCCACAATTATTATCTTTGCGATGCCTAATTCAAAAATTTAAAAACCCTGTGTGTATATGTAGATATGTGTAGATGAGAAAGCATGCCATTCAAAATGAGCATCTATAATCAACATTTCTAGAGCAATTTATGGTGAAATCAATACTCAACTAATTTAAATTTACCTTGAATGCTGAAGACTTCGAGGAGAAGCAGGTTCATGACCTTGTGGCTTCTCAGTAATCACAGGCTGCTGACATACTAACTGCAAAACTGGTCCTTGCTTAATACTTGAAGTAGCAACCTAAAGTTCAAAACTTGATTAGATATCAAGATTTGTTCAAACAGCTATAACCAACAGCTAAAACCAATGCTATCTTGGAATTCATTAACCATTAACCTGCTCCTATGTGGACCCAATTTTGGGAACCATAGTTCAAAAAGAACAGTTACAAATTGGAACACATTTGGAGGACAGCTACTCTGAGGCACAGTTAAAGGCTCTAGAATGTTTAAATTACAAAAGAGAAGTCTGAGAGGAGGTACAATAGCAGTCTTCAAACATATGAAGGGCTGTCACACAGGAGGAGGAATAGATTTTTTCCCATTTCCTTCAGGACCAATGGGTTTAATTCAGTTAATTAGCCTGATGGGTTAAAATTACAATGTTTAAGTTAGATATTCAATAGTAGGGACGAATTTCTTGAATGTACAAGCTGTTAGTCAAGGGCAAAGATGCTACATGAAATAGTGGCTTTTCCTTTGATGAAAGTTTTCATAAGAAAGGCTGGATGATCACCTCTCAGAGATACTCTAGTGGATTGTGCATTGACATTCCAATTCTATGATTCTATGAAAATACTGGAGACTAGCAATAAACAGAGTTTTATTCTCACAATACATTAAAAACTTACCTTTGGCTGTGATGATACAGATTTCAAAGGAACTGTGTTAGTCTGAGGCGTGCTTATTTTTGGAGATACATATGATCTTGGTGATGAAGCATCTGATGTTAAAGACATTGGGGACTGATTAGACGTCTGAGCTGTGAATAAAATCATGAGAGCATTATAAAAGCCCATTGACTGAGTATTTTTAAAGGAACAGTATTTTTATAACAGTTAAGTTTGGCAAGCTTATAAATAAATTTGCTACTGTCACTAAAATAAGGTCAAACCTGTTATTACTGTACTAAAGCATGAAAATCTTACACTAACAAGGTACACAACACCTATATGTGCCGCTGCAGTAAGTAATATCAAGTACTAGACAACCCATGAGCTGTTGAGTCACTATTTCAGAGATATTTCCTTATCAGAAGGAATCAGAGCATCAAAAACCTTCCTTCCTTCACTGTTCCCTCCCTCCAATTCTTGCTGATTTCTCAATTTACTTTGCTTGTGGAAAAACTTGTGGAAAGCCGGAAACAGTTAAGTGGGGAAGCCAGCAGGAAGTTGCAAGCCAAGGCTGCTGCCAGGTGAGGGAGGGAGGAAGGGTATACATGGGGGAGCGGGTCAGGAAAGGGGTTGGGGCTGTGTGAGAGGTGTTGCATAGGTTGGGAAGGTATGTGGGGTGCTGCATGGATCAGGGAAGGTGTAGGGGGGCAGAATAGGCTGGTAGAACATAGAGAATGACATGGGCTGAGAAGGGTGCACGCTAAGTGGTTGCTGCTGGGTGGGGGAGAGAGTGAGGGATTGCAAGACTGGCTGGGAAACTGTCATGTTTGACAGTTGAAAATGTTGAATGTTGAAAATGAAGATCATGTGACAGCAGCAGCAGCCAATAGCACTAAAGCAGCCACAACTTTCCCAAATTCTCTTGGAGTTATGTGTCCCGCATTTTGGATATATTCTGCAAGTCAGTCCATCTCAGTTACCTTGGTTGAAAAATTGTTGCCCTATAATGCATCATTTTGCCCAGTTAAAGATCATGACAGTGTTTTAGTAGTATGTGCTGTACGTAAATTGCTTTCAACAGCCTTTTTTGGAACGGAGAAGTCCATAAATTGCAGCAAATAAATAAATAAGCAAACAAACAAATGCATGCTCTGATCTAGGGTTAGCCAATTCCATAGCTTTATAATCTAAAAAACTAAGGACTGCACACAACATATAAATGTCAAATTTCTCCTTGCATACATAAATTAACAAACTGTATTTAGAAAGAACAATGTTTATTTTTCCATTTCTGAACTGCCCATCTCCCTCAAAGTGGGACTCTTGGGGGTGTACAATAAAACAGACTGTGCCCAAACACTGAATCATAAGCAGCGTGTACCAAGACTGAAGAATATGTTAACTATGGGCACAGACCTGAAATGTGTGTTCTGGGCAGAAGTGCTGGAGAGTAGAAAAAGGGGAAGGCCATGGTTAGTTCTGCATGGGGTTAAGGGAAGGTGTTGAAAGGGGAGTTTCAGGTTACCTTCTGTTTCCTCTGTATATCTTGATCTAAGAATTTTCAGTAACACTTCTCAACTAGTATATTTGAATTTCTCTCTAGTTTTGATGCAAACCAAACATTACAGTTGAGTATTTGGAGTGAGATAAATGTGATTAAGATGCATTTAATTCCAAGGTTGATTTACATTTTGAGAATCCTTCCTGTATTTATTGTATCATATTATTGTAAACACACTTACAGGAAACAATACATTTGGCAAGTTTTCTGTAAGATTTTCATTGTGCAAATTACAATTAGCTGTTGGGAAGACAGATTTAAACTTCAGCTTATCACTGGGCATTTTGACTTTGATCATTGGCTGGCATAAGGAACTTCAGAATTCAGCTGTTTGGACTTCAGAGTTACTATTTCGCCTATTGGAATCCTGGCAAGCACTGGGATTCCTGAACTTATTTTTATAAGATATATATATATAGAAAATATTGACCCATTTATGAAAATCTTATACTATTAGATATCTATAGGCACAGACCTGAAATGTTTGTTTAACTATACTGTTTTTTTTTTAAATAGGTGGTTTAAGAAGGAGTTCTTATATTATTATTACTAGGCATCAACTCAGCCCTGTGGAAGCTATTTTAACACACCTGTCATACTGAACAAATCTGATTTACTCCTCAAGAGTGCTTCTTGCTATTTTATTGAACTGAAGTATTTGTTATTTGATCTAGTTGGAGCAGATGTTATTATTACTTCTTAAGTTTCTAATTTTGGAGAAATGAGCTGTGATTTCTAAAGTTAAATCTTTTTAAGAAAATTGATGAAACTGATAGTAATACTAAGATATCTGGAATAATGAGTTTAAATGTCCTGGTAAACCTGTGGAGAATCACTTTAAATAGTTTTCTATGATCTTAAAATGAGATTAATACAAATAAGATTACTTAACATAAATCAGATGCAATCTTTTATATATGCTGGTGTAATTGCCTAAAAGATGGACATTAATTCACATGGTTGAACCAGTTCTAATTGCCAACCTCAGGACTGAAATGACTAGGGTAAATAAGGCTCTGAATCAATTTTTCTCTTTTAATTAGTATTTGATATGAAAATATGCAGAATTATGGATTTTTGGGGCTGACTAGAAGAATGTCCATACAACATTGGAAAGCTGAATGTACAACTGATTTGCAGCAATAGATCATTATTGTATTTCTCCACATTTAAATTAGACCTTGTGTCTATATGCACATGCTTCTTTTGCCAAAATAGCAAGGAGGAAAACTTTGAATGATAAAGTCAAAATATTTTGCAGTTATTCTGTTTATAATGTGACTTTCCAGGACTCTTTATTCTTCAATATCACAGTTACTAAACTTGAAGTTATTTTCTTAATACTGTTGCATATACTGTATGTATAAAAGTAGTCCTCAGTTAACAACCTTGAGAGACCGCCTCCTGCCAATTACATCCCTGCGACCAATAAGATCTCATAGGTTAGGCCTCCTCCGCATTCCATCGGCCAGCCAGTGT